TAGTGACAACTCGGCTCTCATTTCTTGTATTTGTTATTATTATATACTTACTTTCCATAGCGATTGTGCCTTTCTATTCCTTTTCCCCTCTTTGGTGCTATCCCAGTTTCCAGATGCTCTTTCAAGTATTTCGCATTCTCTACATTCAGTAAACTTATATTTCTGTATATTCCTCCTTTATCAACTTTTATTATTATTATTCATATCAAAAAAGCTTGTATCAAGTTCAGGTGATCACACATCCGCCCCGTCAACTTCGTCAGGTCGTTTTTCCTTTTCTTGAKGGATATAAAGTCACAAATGAACGCTAAAAAGTAGCTAAATAGGATGATAGAAATTACATCTATCTTAATTTTGTCACTGTTTTTAACTTAAAAATTAAAATTAAACAAGAACTACTTCGTGGAACATACCGTGTCCAGTTTTGCCGTGAAATATATATTTTTACCAGCGCCGCGATCGATTTGATAGATTTTGCGTATGATCTTTTCACATCATTTTTTTGAATATTTTTATCATTGCAGCGACAATTTAGCATTCTGATTGTATTTGCATTATCCTCACAGAATTTATAAGACGACAGTTTGCTTTGCATTTTAGAAAGAAAAGAAGAACGATTATATTTTAAAGTTAAAGAAAGAAACTAAGAAAAAAATTGTTTAGAAGCTGCTCGAGTCGAGAATCGAAGCCGAGTTCATCAGTTCTTGCGTGTAATGAAATATATAAAAGAAATATCTACAGGAAAAATAATAATATCTTATTAACCGAGCGCGAGGGCCGTACGGGAAGTTATGGACCGAGTTTTTTCCACTGACTTATGGCCAGAGAGCGTAGCGCTGTACTGCTCGAGCAAGCGAGGTTAATAAGATATTTATTATATAGCATTTTCAGGGAAAAATAGTAAAATTAATAGAGAGTCGGACATAAAAATACGTTTTTGTTCATATTTTACTTGTCATTCAAAATAGATGGAAAAAAAAGCCTGAGAAACCTTGATGGCAAAATTGGGATTCATTTTTGACTCTTTTTTTATACAATACAACTACAAAAAAAGAGAAAGCGAGCCTTTTTAAGATATYAAAACGTTCTTTTTCCTTTCTCGTTTCATCTGGTCCGTACGGGAAAGTATGGCCCGCTTTTTAGCCAATGAAATCGTGTGTACATCCGAGCTATATAATAATAATTATTATTATCATATGACCCGTATTTCGGCCCTACGCGCGCTCTCACTGAAACCTTTGGAAAATGGTCACGTGATGGGGTCCGTACGCCTTTTCGCGACAGGTCCGTACAAACCCGTATTTTCCCGGCTTCAAGTTCCGCGCGATTTTATTTATTTTTTTACATTAATAAACGCGGTCATATGATAAAATGCTTATTGACTGAGTTAGGTCGGACCGTACGGGAAAATATTTGGCTCTCGGTCATTTTTACGGACCTCGCTGCGCTCGGTCCGTACGGCATAACCTCGAGCCAAATATTTTCCCGTACGGCCCTCCCACTCAGTCAATAAGTACATAGTACGCGCGCTCTGATTGGCTGAAAACTGGTCCGTGAAATCGCGTATCCAGACCACAGGTCCGWCTTTTTCCGTATCCGGACCGGAAATTGCTAATTTGATGGTCGTGCGGTAAGTTGGACAGAGGGAATCAAGACAACTTGGTTTATCAGATTTGAGACTTTCTTTGCAATAAAAAAAAAATTCAAACAAAATCCATTTCTAATGATCTGAAAGAAAGACGGTTCAATTTCAACTACTCCCGCATTTTGGCCGCGCTCGCGTCTTAGCAATTGACTTTCCCGCTATTTTCCAAGTTGACCGCCGTAAAGTTGTTTTCAATGACAACGGCATCAATCCAGCTTAGAAGTGCTCGATAAGTACTCACCACTTCGATGTTTGTTCTAAATTTTACACACCAATTGTGGCGCACGTCAATTTTGGCTGTATTACAATGATTTCCAAAACCTAATTTCTATTTTTTGAATGACCACATATTGCTCTAACTGTGTGCAAAAAAATTAGAGTTAGCAAATTATGATCCACCGAGGTTCAGGAGGTTTTTGAACAGGTCTCTTTAACAGGATTGGTAGGATGGATCGGACTTTACTACCTCCAACAGTCCAAAAGTGAACGAGAATGTGTTGGAGAACAACYAGTGTTTATTTTACTGAAAGAAAAAAGGTAAAAAGAAAGAATTTTCCAGACGTGCTCGAGTCGAGGCTCGAACCTTAAAACTCTGGATTATTGGTCCCTTGGGATTGCTAAACTGCGACGTGAAAAAAAAAATCAAAAAAATAAAGTCGCTGCATTTTATAACCGTGCCGCAGGGCTTCGGCCTGGACACGGTAAAAATTACAATGCTTTTCTGATGTTTCATTGAAGCATCACGTGGGCACTTCATTATCACGCTACTCGCAAAGCTCATTTGCATGCAAAACATTGCTTATGTCCTGTTTGTTAGGTTTCTTGTAATTGGAGGAATAAAACAATGCTCATTGTTTCCTCGTTCTTAAATCCTATTGTTTTCTTTAATTCAACTAAAAGCTAGAAAACAAACAGTGAAGGGCTCTTATATTAACTATGGAGTGCGAGTTTCCGAATGCTAAAAATATGAAAACCAACGAGAAGACAATTTCTAGTCAAGGTTTAAATCTAATCTTTCTTCGTCGTTTTTGGTCCTGCTTAAAAATAATGTTTCCCTCGTGCCTTTCAACGACATTTCTTTTGTTTATATTACTCCTTGGACTCTTGCTTGGCGAGCAAATGCTAATCTACAACATCGGCTTGATTCCGAGTCAATTCTACAAAGTCCTCAGCAGCAGAGACAAGCAAGGATTTCATTCTCTTATAATCGTGGCTTTGTGCTTGCTTATCGGAGGAGGTTTAGGAAAAAGCCTTGTACAATACGTCGCTAATCTTTCATATGTAAAATGGAGAGGTTTAATGACTTCTATCTTACACAAATCATACTTCAAGCGCAATGTTTTATACAACCTGAACGTCCTGGATAACAGTGTGGACAACCCAGATCAGAGGATTACACAAGACATTGACCGATTCTGCAGAATGCTTCGAAAGATAATATCTAAGCTGTGTATGGCTCCTTTCACTGTTGGTTATTATTCCTACAGATGCTATGAAGGCAACGGCTTTCTGGGCCCTCTGAGCATTTTCGGATATTTTGTGGTCTTTGCAATAATTAACAAACTTATTATGTCAGGAATTATTCCCCTGGTTGTAAAGCAGGAGAAGATGGAAGGCAACTTTAGGTACAAACACATGCAGGTTTGTAGCACGAATGCAATGTCCGACAATGAGCACTGGACGCGATTTCAGTCCGCGTAATGGAACTAATTACGAGGACTTAAAATCCRGTCCAGTCCGAATTGAAGGACTTTCACTTCCCAAACTCTTTAATTATTCGGGATTAGGATATTCCTAATTATTRGGGAGGGTTAAAAAGCTAAGGAAAGGTGTTTGACAGAAATAGATCGTCTTGGTAGCTACACAGGTTGTTATGATTTTGTATAAAATAAGCACCATTCATTGTTCTACAATTCCCGAAAGGGAATCTGAAGCAAACGATTTTGAATTCTGTATCTGCTAATTATGCCATTCCTAATAAGCCTAATTCATTAGATTTGATGCCTCGAGAAGTTTTTCCAGATACCTTAAAGTTAGCATTTCTCGAAAGGCAATCAAGCAATTGATACGGGATTCCAATTCTCACCATAAGGGTTTTCATATAACAACAGTTAATCCCCTGAGAAAATAAAGAAAAAAGCTATCGCTGCCATGRTGGATGAAGTTCACAAAGCATCTGCATTCCTCATTAGTTTCTCTTGTTCATTCATCCAACATGGCTGCGATAGCTTTTTTCTTTATTTTCTTCTCAGGGTATTACTTACCATGTGGTTGCCAGTATAGGTTAAAATATACGGTACCATTATTCCTAATATAAAAAAAGTAATTGTATTTGTAGGCTACCTCTTTACTTCAAATAGCAAATTAAGCATAACGAATATAAAATATGTGAAACTTTACCATAAGTCATGAGAAAATTTAAAAAATGGGAAAGATAAAATATTCAAATAAAACTTGTTTTCAAGAAATACAGTTTATTTTTCAAGAGATAATAAAAGACGGTACTAAAACTTGGCTCTGAGTTTACTCCATTTTTTAATTGAAACCTATTGACAGACATACACTACTGAAGATATTATAAAAGTTAGATAACACTTAGTAGCGGAGCTCCACAAGAACGTTTATAAGAATCCACAACTATTTCAAGGAAATTCAACGAATCATATCTTCAATTGAAACGAACTGCCCACATGCCGGTCTTATTGGTAAACAGTGGCAGTCAAAATGGCCCTCGAGAAAATGAGTATCATTGAGCAAACATGTCCTTTTGTTTGCCCTAGGTTGAAGTTACTGTTAGGCTTAACGACATTAAAATTTTCTTACTGTGGAATTAACTAAAATGTAAAAAGATAACTTTCTCATCACAAATACATTTTTAGACCCTCCAGTAAAACATGTGAAGGAGAASGTTTTTCTCGTGTAAACAGGGACAAATATAACATAAGTAATACGCTCTAAATGTATTGTTGTCTTTTGTGTCTATTTGACTATCACAATTTATAGTCAACTAATTTCGTTTTGCAGGTTTAATGACTTCACTCTAATTGCACACATTCTATCGACAAAACGTAAAGCTTCCACGTAGTAGTTCTCAGTAGGTTACTAAACTCATTTGGACGTGTACTAATATTATTATAATAGTATTATGTAATATTTAGACCATGCTTTTACCTCGTTATCGTTCCTGTAGTGGATACTGCTAGTCCCTAGTATTTCCTACTATTAGTTTTTTTATTTATTTATTTGTGGTTATTTCTTTCAGGTTCGAGTCAACTCGGAGTCCTTTGCGTTCTACAGATCGAACCTAATAGAAGAGAAAAGAGCAAACGAAAAGCTTAGCTGTCTACTTGAAGTTCAACAAAGACTAGTCAATTATGAATTTTTATTGAATTTGTCTGTGAATTGCTGTAGTAATATTGGTGGAGTACTCAGCTATCTGATAATAGCTATTTCAATATTCACTGGAAGATACGATGGATTATCTACATTAGAGCTTACTGAGGTAATAAGTCGCGGTGCCTTCGTGTCATTGTACCTCATTGGCTCCTTCACCAAGTTGATTGACTTATCTGTCTCAGTGTCTGACATGGCAGGTTACACTCATCGAATAGGAGAGCTGATCGAGACCTTAGAGGAGAAGTCAGCAAAAGAGGACAAAATAGATCACAGTTCTTTGTCTTTTCATCCGACAATGAGCACCAGCTGCATTTTTAAATTTGAGTCAGTTTCATTTGCTGCACCCAAGGCTGTGCAAACACTGGTTAATGACTTAAACTTAACTGTGAATAAAGGCGAAAACATTATTYTTACTGGTAAGACAGGGAGTGGGAAAAGTTCCCTCTTAAGGTTATTGACTGACCTTTGGAAACCATCGTCTGGTCAAGTGCTGAGGAAGTTAAAGCCAGTTCCAAATAATGTGCTCTTTTTGCCCCAAAGGGTATTGCTGTCAGATGGAACACTAAAGCAACAGGTTGTTTATCCATATGACACACCCCTGCTTCAAGACTTCGTTGAAAATGGCGAAAAAAGTGATGACAGTATTCTAAGAATTTTGCTTGATGTGGGTCTATTTAGTGTGTGTAAGCGTTTGGGAGGAATCAACATTCCTGTACACGGCAGCTGGGAAGACGTGTTGTCACCTGGTGAGATGCAGCGACTTGCTTTTGCTCGGCTTTTCTATCACAAACCAGTGATAGCATTGTTGGATGAAGCTACAAGTGCATTGGATGTGGATGCGGAAAGGTACATGTATGACAAGTGCACTAAACTTGGTATTACTCTTGTCAGTATTGGTCACCGAGAATCCTTGATACCATATCATCATGTGATTTTAAAACTGGACGGAGAAGGTGGATGGTCTCTTAACTACATCACGTAAAATCAATAAAAATGATGGATTCATGACATGCGTTGCTGTATAGGAACTAAAAACGTGCAATATTAAAAAGCCTATCTCCAAACATTGTCATGCACGCTTCGTTTCACTTTTAGAAAGGGTTAGTTACTGAGGGTCGTCTAATATCACTATGATCTACTTAGCCAACCGATAAGAACTGATCAAAAAAGTCCTTTTGTCTGTTGTTAGTTGAGATTCACTTGTATCACTAATTTGCACAGTTTATAGTAACTAGTGCTTCAATCTTTTATTGAAAGCACATTAATTAATTAGTGTTTGTTTATTCTTTAATTATAACAAATCGCGCTTTAGAATCGTTGAATAAACTAAACAAGAACCACTTAGCTTCGTTGAACATACTGTGTCCAGGCTACGCTAGTATATACTTTTACCAGCGCCYCGATCGATTTGATAGATTTTGCGTATGATCTTTTCAATTTTTGAATAAAGTTCATTGCAGCGAAAATTTAGCATTCAGATTGCATTCGCATTATCCTCAGAGAATTTATGAGATGAAAGTTTGKTTTGCATAAAATGATTTTAGAAAAAAGAACGAGTATATAATTTAAAGTTAAAGAAAGAAGGAAAGAAAAAAGAATAGCTTAGAAGTGATCGAGTCGAGAATCTAACCCGCGATCCTAAGTTCGACGATATTCGAGTACGATAGTCTGTGTAAAAATCTAAATAATGGTCCGGAAATACTTGTTAAGCGAATATCTACAAAAAAAATTAAACATGACTATAGCAACTTCATTTCAGTTAAACAGAAAGAAAAANAAGACACACAAAAAGAAGTGGAAAATTTTATATCACACTACATTAGTTATCGAAAGCAAGGTCAAGCTATTGCACAAATGGAAGTCTGTGTAATCTACATTTATTGGTATAGTATATCCGCTGAGAACAGTTCTATGGCTTTATTTATCTTGATTGAGATCTTCTTGCTTTTTTACTGAACGTAGGTGAAGAATCTTCCGGATGAGGTTGTTTGGCTTCTCTTGATCTTCGCAGTAAGGTAAATTAGAGATCGTAAAGCTGCAGCGCTTTGATAGCTTTTTATCACTGAAGCCAGGMTTTCCTTCAACGCTGAGAATGACTGTTGCCATAACGACCATTGCCACGAAAATGTATTTCATTGTGAAGATCTGAAATCAATGCAGATTACAAAAAAGGTACCTTTATTATAATATTCATTAATAATTCATAAGTTACACAGCCATTCAGTGACCGTTATTGTAGTCACATGACTACCCTTGTATTCACCAATACAAACTTAAAGCGCGGGGAGGGCTTGAATTCAGAGCAGGGAAAGGGTGGGGTTGATGAATAATTCTGTATTTTTATACAGAATACTAATATTCTGTATTTTTATATAGAATACTAATAGATCTGTTAGCCTGCTATAGAAAAAAAATGCAAAATGCTGATAGACATCGATCTAGCAAAATATGAATAGTCAAAATTGCACGTATTTACATTTACGATCATTTTTCTTGAGGAGGTTAAATGAATTTTCTGCCTTTACGTTTTGTAGAAGCCTGTTAAGGCCGGAAACAATCAGAAATATAGATTTTGATCAATATTGTACGCCACTCTTGTTGGCAATAACTCTCCAACGAACTTTGTTAACCAAGAATATTTAGAGAGTTCAACTAGATTTTGCACATTATCGATATCACAGCCAGACCCAACGCTCTCGTTTGTTACTGAGTGTTAATTTTCTTRGCTTGCTTGTTGACACTCGTTAAAAATTCACTRCATTTTATGGTATGTTRGGTATTAGATGTTATAAGAATCCTGCAGCCAATTTTCGTCTTCGTTCTTGTCCTTTGGTTTTCTAAAGTTAGCCATYATTCTCGAGCTTGTTCTGAATGCATGATGAATGCTAACTGAAGGCAAAAATTATGCGACATACGGTCCGTGGAAAAGAAAACAATAGAACGTGTTCGCATAACCCACTTTTTAAATGCT